ATAATTATTTTTAGGCCCCGAAATATGTTTTGGCGGGGGCCGAACGACGTCGGGCTCGGACCCCGTGCGGGACCCCGAACGACCGTATACACGGAGGTCTGCCCGGGGACCTCTGTACGTACGGGCTGGTGACCCTATATATATATATCTAGCGCGAGGAGGGCAAGCCTCGTGTCGCACCGAAGTCCAACTCGGTTTCTCTTTGCCACAAGCTGCTGCCTCCCTATCTGGAAGCACGACCCAGACGCCCGACTCGGTCAGTACATCCCGGGACAACTCTGAGTCGTATGTTTCCGTGTCGTGTCGGGGTTCAGGTCCTGACGAGGATCATAACTCTGCTGGCTGTGAAGGATGAAATTCTCAAAAGTCGAAGAAGCAAAAACAGTTTGGTCGTTGTCCCGGACCCCCGAACTTTGACTCGTGGATCTAGGTGGAAGCGTATTGGTCGGAGATAACAACCTCGACAAGGATAGAGTTCTAATGTCAAAGTCGTTGTGCAAGACGGTGTGTGGAGGCTTGTCATTTGTCCGCCATACTCTGTCTGCAATGGAGAAGATTGTTTTGGATATTTATTTCCCTATGTTCCGCGCACCGACTCTAACTTCCACCGCATTTGTTGCAGATACTCATGACGCGATAGTATAATAGAGCAGGCACAACCTCAAGCACCCAGCAACGAAGATGATGGGGACATGGTGTACGGCCGTCGACCACGACGTAGAGCTGTGCGCGGTCGAGGGGGCCCCGGCCTTGGGCCAGCAGTCGTCGCGGCACGTCGCCCACCACCTCCTCCCCCGCAAATGAATGAGGATGAAATACGAGCGGCATGGCCGCATCCTGCGTTTTTGGTGGAAATAGCTGTACAAATTGTCAGCGAGGAGGACCGCAACGACCAGTTCTTGCACATCCTAGTGGGAAACAATCGACAGGACGCGGCGGCTAACAGATTCGTAGGGTACAGGGAGTTCGCGAACCTCTGCGGTTACGCCCGCCGTCAGAGACTGCCGACGGAATTCGAGGAGGCGATGCGTATGAGGTGGCCTAACCCGCAAAACGATGGTTACGTCGGCTTCATTCCAGATCCACGTGCACCGACCGATAACGATAACCCTCGCCGTGGGTAGATGCTAGAGAGAGAGAGAGAGAGAGAGAGAGAGAGAGAGAGAGAGAGAGAGAGAGAGAGAGAGAGACGTT